GCCGTTATCATGCACTGAAATGTCTTCCAAGAGGATGTTGTTGACGTAGTTCTTGTACTCGTGTTGACATAGTTTGGCAATATGAGTCCGTCTGGACCCAGGTGGACCCAGGTGGACACAGGAGTCCCGGTTTCCCTTCAGAACCTCCACGCTGCCTGCTGATACCAAACCGTGTTGTGTAGCCACAGTGACCCCTTGTGTTCAATGGTGCAAAAAACGTGTGAATATTCTGTAACTGGTGAAATCAAATCAATGTTGTGTACAGAGCTCTGAATGATGCAGCCCCGCCCCCCCCCCCACTGCTGTTTGTGGTTATTGTTATATATATGTGTGTGTGTGTGTGTGTGTGGGTTCTCTTTCGTTTCCTGTTTCTTTGAGGCATGACTGTGTTTCTCCTGTGATAGTGATTTATTCAGACTTTTTTTAAATCTCCAGTTCAGAGACGAGTGTCTGTGGACGAGTGTCTGTGGACGAGTGTCTGTGGACGAGTGTCAGAACAAACTGCCAACAGCCACATTAATTAATTAATGAATGAGTCAACGTTCATCAGACTACAGACCAGAGTCAGTGGTTAGTGACAGGCGTCAGCTCTGACTGAAGACAAGTGGAAACATCAGATCACTTGATTCTTTTTCAAATATACACAGGTTCTTTTCTCTGACGTGGTGGTGAATATATATCTGGTGACTGTAACTGTATCTGTTCTGTTTCTTTAACAGCCTGTTTAATCATGTGAAAAGTCATGACAAATTTGATCTGATTGTCACTCAAAAAAACAAGAAAACAGTGGATTATTACATTTAATGTTGAAGAATATTTGATGTTATATGCAACACATCTATGTATAATATGTGAAGATGAGCATGTTGCTACACATGCCTAAAATAAAGTCTACAGTACAAACACATTCTTGTAGCTGTTGATTGAAGCCGACATTTCAACTGACTGGTCTGGAGAGTGACGTCACGCGGACCACGCCTCTTCATCGCATCCATATCTCTGAACATTCAAATCCAGTGCACGCCTCACTGTGGTTCCGTGTGATAATGATTTTCAGCCATTTAAAATCAATATTCTGTTGGTTTCAGTCTCGACACTTTTGGAAATATTATAGATATTATAAAAAAAGTCTTCTCTCTACACCGTGGACTGTCTGCAGTCAATACAGAGTTACTGAAACATTTGATTTATTTGTAGAAAAAAAACAATAATTTAAAGTACATACTTGAAACATGCGTGATACAAAAGTCCGCAGAATCAATTATTGTACAATAAATCACAACAAATACTTCGGATTATCTAAAACCACGCACTGATTATAGTTGCCAGAAAAACATTGACCAAAAATCTAAATTTTAAAAATTCTGGATTAAAATCATAAACATTTAGTAGATTATTTCGAACGACACGTTTGTGTTTTCAAACAATAAGGATTAAATAATAATAATAAAGATTAAAACACACCGGCTGTTTGACACTCGCGAAAATCGCGACTACTTTTAAATCCGAAGTAAGAAAAATAAATTTAAACTATTTCCAGACAAATGACAATTTTCCGGTAAAATGTACATTTAAACTTTTCTTACGTTTACTGACCTGAACGAATCAGTTTTTACGGGAGAGAAGAGGCGGAAGTGGTGCATCTATACACCTGTCCCCGGAACAACAGAGGGAACACAAACTTTCCGTCCCGCTCGTATTAAATATTCAATATTAAAATGAACCAGTGTCATCGTCATGTAACACTGGTCACCGACCCACGTGACGTCACAGGTTGTTAGATTACGCTGTTTTGTCAAATAGTTAAAATGAGATGTAGATCTGAGACTGTAATTAGAACATATTGTCAGAAATAAGATTACGCTGTTTTGTCAAATAGCTAAAATGAGATGTAGATCTGAGATTGATGTTGACTGTCAAAAGATAATTAGAACATTTTGTCAGAAATATTTTTAAACATTGCAGAGAAAATCCACAAATACCCCCTGACAGGGCAAATAAATAAGTTAAATATGAGGCACAAAGCAGAAGTGTGTGTCAGCAATGCTGATGGGGTCGTTAATAATGAGCTCATTCACTTCCTGTTTCCAGAATATTCTACATTTTCATCATCACTGATGCAGCAGCTGCG